TAAGATCTCTTACCTGGAGCAGCTGCAGAGGCACCCCCAGAGCACGAGGATCCACTCAGAGCTCTGCCCTGCTCCAGACTGTCCCCTGGGCAGGGGAGCTGAGCTGCTTTGGAGGGTCTTTTTGGCAGCAGAAGGTGGGTGGGAGCCTGTGGGGAGGGAGGAGAGAAAGTGTGGGGTGAGAATTGGGTGTGAAGAGACAGTGTGGGAGGTTTGGGGGTGTGTGAGGACAGAAGGAGATGGAGTCACCTGGGAAGGTGTGAGAGGAGCAGAGAGAGGGTCACATGGATGAGAGAAAACAAGGGTGGGAGGGAATTCCTGTTAAAACCCAGGCCTAAGAGTGAAGGGAACTCAGGTCATTGTTAATGGATCCCTTGGGGTGGATTGGAGTGAAAGGACACTCATTGATCAGTGCTTACATATATAAATTATTTTAGATCAGTTTGATTGCAATGGAAAGGAGGGATGGAGCTGTTTTATTATCTGTGGACATGCAACAATATAAAAGCATGAATATAACACTTCAGAAAAGAAAGAAAAGATCAGAGTAGGGAGATCTCACCAGCTGTGGATTCCAGTGTTGGAATTTTGATGTCTGTTGGTCAGTCTTGATCCATCAGGGATGGGGAAGCCCCCAGAATGATGCCTTAGGACACTTCAGGCATCAAAACCACAATGATTAATGAGATAATCCAGGTTCAGGTGGGAAGGCCCAGGTACTTTCCCTGGCTGATGGGTCATGTGCCAAACTCTGGTGGAAGCCCCAAAAATGAATCTGGGGGCACTTTAGGGGTCTTTGGTGGTTTATGGCCCTTTTAAGACATGACAGCTCCTCTCACAGTGTGGCTGAGCCAGTTCTGCCCCATCTGAAGGATGAAAACCTTCAGCCCTATGTGGGAATGTCCTGATACTCCCCCAGGGGGGTTTTCCACCTGGGCCAGGTGTGTGAGGGAGGACATTGGGATGATAAAAATCATCATCCCACCTCAGGACCTGCTTCTTCTCAGCCTCTTCCATTACCTGGCTCAAAAACCAGCTCGTGGCTAATCAAAAGTTGATTTGTTGTGGTCACCCTCTGGTGTTCACCCCCCTCTGCACATCTTGGACAGCACTTTAATTCCCAATGTCAATTTTAACACATCCTCACAGTTATTTTTCTATAAAATGCCTGGAATTTTTATTAATTTCATTTTAGAAATTTAGAAGGTTCACCCTCAGCAGAACTGTCCTCTCCAAAGAAGAGAGGTGATGTGAAATTTAAACAGGAGAACTAAAGGGTGTTTGTGACAAACTTGAAAATTGTTAGAAAAAGTGAGGGACTGGGGAAGAATATTGATTCCAACAGTGGCAAGAAATTTCTCCCTTAATTAATAATAGTGATGGGTCAGCAAAGCACCTGCTGCCCCTGGAAGTGATTGGTTGAGTCATTAATTGTTAATATTTAAGTGTCTCTCAGTTCTTCTCCTCAGTATCTGGCTCAACCAGACAAACACACCCCACCCTAAAAGGGAGGTTGAGCCCCAGGTTGCTGCTCCCACCCCTCCCTATCCCTCTGGGACAGCCCTGGGATAAATCCCGAGCCTCTGCCAGGCTGGGCTGGGGTGGGATCAGGCACTGCTCCAGGCTCCTGTCCCAGTGCAGCTGGAAAACCTGCTGGAGCTGCACCAAACAGCCACAGACCTCACATGCTTTGAGGATTCCATGTGGAGAAGGTGTGAGGTCCCAGAGCTTCCTGGGCTTCCAGCTCTTTGCTCTGAGTTCCCAGGGAACATCTCAAACAGAAACATGGAATCATGGAACAGTTGAGGGACCTTAAAGATGATGTTGTTCCAACCCCCAGACACCTTCCACTGTCCCAGGTTGCTCCAGCCTGGCCTTGGACACTTCCAGGGATCCAGGGGCAGCCACAGCTTCTCTGGGAATTCCAGCCCAGCCCCTCCCCACCCTCAAAGGGAGGAATTTCTTACCAATATCCAGCCTAAAATCCCCCTCTTTCAGTTTGAAAGTGAAATATCTGATTGAGCTGCANAGGTTGCTCCAGCCTGGCCTTGGACACTTCCAGGGACGGGGCAGCCACAGCTTCTCTGGGAATTCCAGCCCAGCCCCTCCCCACCCTCAAAGGGAGGAATTTCTTACCAATATCCAGCCTAAAATCCCCCTCTTTCAGTTTGAAAGTGAAATATCTGATTGAGCTGCACATCAGTAGCTGAAATGTGCTCCTGGTGATTTGCCTTTCCTGGGATCATTTAGGTTGGAAAAGACCCTGAAGATTGTGGAGTCCAGCTGGTCTGGGGGGCAGGAAGGCCCAGATGGGTCAGAACATCCTGGGAATGTGGGTGAGGAGGAGCAGGGGGGCTGTTTAACACCCCTGAGTGTGTAGTTCTGTGTTTTTCCAGGCATTCCCAACCTGATCACAGCTGACATGATCAAAGAAGGAGCTGCAGTGATTGATGTGGGAATAACCAGAGTGCAGGATCCTGTCACTGCCAAGCCCAGGCTGGTTGGGGACGTGGATTTTGAAGGTATGGGAAGGCTCTGGGTGTGGGTTCTGGAGCACTTGGGTGCTGCAGAGGGAGGACAAGTCCTGGTTTGTGTGTCTGGTTCATCCAATATTGTTCCATGTTATCCCAGGACATGCCATGGGAAAGCTGCACAGGAGACTCACCCTGTTGGGTCACTTTGCCTCTATTCCAAAACCTCTTTTAAAATAAAGCCATGCAGAACTTACCTCCTGCCCTGTGTTCCCTGGCCTTGATCCTCCTGGAGCTGCAGCCCCACGGGGGCTGTTGGGATGAGCCTGGGGGAAAACCTTGGAATTTCCTCCTGGAAGAAAAAGAGGGTGAATGTCCAGACTGATGAAGTACCATCAAGTACATCAAGGCCACACCTAGTCTTGGATTTCTGTGCTAGAAACCAGCTTTTAGACCTTACTTTAGATCCTTTAGTCCTCCCTTTGAGCTTTTGCCCAGCCTGGGCTTTGCAGCTGGGCTGGTTTAGAGCAGCAGGGATGGGAAGAGCGGGGCTGGATAATGGGGAAAGGCCACGTGGGGAAACTCCTGTTCCTAAAGGATGGTCCTGGAGGAATCTGGGGGCTTTTAGACTGGGAGTTGTTGCTGCTGTTGCTTTTGGTGCTGAGCTGTACCTTTTTTCCCCAGGGGTGAGGAAGAAGGCCAGTTACATCACCCCAGTGCCCGGGGGTGTGGGGCCCATGACCGTGGCCATGCTGATGAAAAACACCATCATTGCTGCCAAGAAGCTGCTGAAACCCAAAGAGTTGGAAGCACTGACTGCTTGACCTGGGCCATCCTTCTCCTTTGTAGCACTGAAAGCAACATTCCAAACTGACTCCCAAACAGGCCGATAGAAAATGCAATATTTTTTTATTTATTGTCTCGGGACGGGAAATTTCCCACTCGGAGGTGGCAGGTATTTATTGGAGCTGAAGCAGCTGCATCTGAGGTGTGTAAATCTTCATGCCTGTGCTCCTCCTGCTTGTAAAGCTGCTCTATGTGTGAGCCAGACCTGCTCCTGCAGGGATTTGGGGTCCTGGGAATGCAGCTTTCCCGGGAACTCCGTCAGCACTCCTTTGGGATTTACTCCATGGTACAAAGCCTTGATGGTTCTGTTCTCACAGATCTGGAGTGGGGCTTGTGCTGGTCTCCTGCTCAATGCTGGATGTTTAGTTTGAGCTCTTCTGTAGAAGAAATTACTTGAAAAATTAAAAATAAAGCCATATTTGTGCTCTGGGGCTGTGCAGGGCCCTGGGCAGTGGCAGAGCTGTTGTAACATGTTCTAGTGTGCAGCTAAGCTGGGTTTTTTTGCTGTTTGGTTGGTGAATTTTTTTAAAAAGCCTTTTTTTTCTAACCAAAGAACAGTGTGAGGAGGGTTTGGTGTCCACAAAGGGCACACAGGAGGTTCCCTGGGCTGTGTTATGAAGTGTGTAACTAGTGAGTAATGCAGGCTAACTAAATAAAGTGTGAGAAGACAAAAAAAAAATCCCTGTTTGTGCCCTGGAATTATTACTAGTCAACTACTTCACTTCTAGAAAAGCTGCCCTAGTTGTTTTTAGAGCACTTGTGGGGTGAGCTATTCCCCCAGAGCAGGGGGAGGTCTGGCTTCCACCCAGAGCTTACCTGGGACACAACTGCTCCACCAGCACTAGCTGGCCTTGAAAGTAAGCAAATCTCTTCCTTTCAAGCCTGATCAAAACCTGTTCAGCTCCCTGAGTCTTATTTCTCAGCTAAATCCACATCACAGCATGAAGGATGTTTTTAAGCTCTAATTATCCTCTGAACATCAGCCTTACCTGAGGTGATGCCTCAAGCAGGGCGGAAAAACTTCCTTGCAGGATTATTCATGGGCAGTGAGGTGAATCTTGGACTCTTTCCTCTTCACATATTCCCTGGTGTGACTGGTCCCACCCTCCTGAGAGCAGGAATGTTGTGGTGCCATCGGTTGGACTGGGTCTTGGAAGCTTTTCCAACCTTTAACGGGCTGAAGGTACCAGCTGAGCTGGTGCCAAACCCCCTCTCCTGGAGGGGAGAGCACTGATAAAAACACAGGGGGAAGGAAATTCGGGATTCAGGGGCTCTGCAGCAGAAACACACTTAAGAGCTGAGACTCATTGAAACGAGGTTTATTGGGTTTTATCCAAGAAATACAAAATGGGACAGTGGTCCCAGGCTGGAGGCGGCGAATCTCGGACGCTCCGTTTGCTCATACAAAAAGTAGAATCCACGGTGCAAAATAGACAAATTGAGCCAAGAACAAGCTGGATCCTACAGTGGCTTCAGCTCTGCCCTATGGAACAGCTACCAGAGTCCACAAAGCCTGTCCAGGGGTGGTGGAAATAGAGCTGATGGGCTGGGTAAAGCGAATTAACCCGGTTGATTAAAATCATAAGCCTACGACGCTTCTACCACACAGGATTGGTACAAAACGCTACAAAATAGACACAGTGCCTTCAAGTTGAAATGGTTCTGGCTGTTCATGAACACTGAAGTGGTGATAGGGTAACAGTGTGTTATTTCTCTCACCCCCTGTCCCCGGGAAATGCACCTGAACCAGAAAAAAAATTGCTATAAATAGGAAATTGCCTTCAAGTCTCTGTTGGCTTTGACTATTTACAGGGATCTGTCCCACACAAAGGTTCAGACCAGTTGCAATATTTAACTGGTGGCCCAGAAACCCCAGTAGTGCTGGTGTAAATATCAGGCAGGGTGATCCTGCTCCTGGGGAAGGGGTTTGGGGCTCTGGGAGGTTGGAAATAGAGAAAAAAAACATACAGAATTAGACTAGAAAAAAAAATGAGTAAAAGAAACAGATTTGAGGGTTGTTTCAGAGAAGTGTTTGGGCTTGGTCTGTGGAGGGAAAAAATCCTTGAAAGCCTCAGCACTGCCCTGGTGCTGCTGGAAAAAGGGTGTGGGAGCTGGGCAGAGGCCAAGGGAGCTCGGAGCCTCCCTGGCTCCAAACCTTCTCCCTTTCCTTCCTCTCCCAGAGGATCCAGAGGCAGCAGTGGGTGGGAAGAGCCCGTTATGGAGCTGAAATGCCGACAGACACCCAGCAGGGAGGTGCTGGAGCCTGGAGCACAGGGGGGATGTCCTGGCTCTGCCCTCCCTGCTCCAGGTGCTTGTTCTCCCCTCCTGTTCCAGCCACCAGCTGTTAAACTGCTGGGAACGACCAGGAGGGAGGAGCTGAAGTGGGAGTGAAGCCCCTTGGACAGGGCTGGGCAGCAGAGAATCCTTGAATTCCTCCAGTGAGAGAATTCCTCCAGTGAGAGCACGGCTTGGGAATGTCTGTCTCGCTCCTGTCTTGGGAATGTCTCACTCCCACCCCGAGGAAGGGACGGGGCTGTTCCTGGGCCAGGGGTGGCCCTGGAGAGCCATGGTGAGGACATGGGGCTGGGCCACCAAAGGGCTTCACTGCAGCCACTGTTCCCATTTCCCTGTAGAAACCATTCCCAGTACTCTACAGAACCTATTCCTGATTCCTACAGAAACCTTTCCTCTTTCCTACAGCAACTGTTCCCAATTCCCTGCAGAAACCATTCCCAATTTCCCTGCAGAACTCATTCCTGTTTCCCTGTAGAACCCATTCCTGTTTCCTACAGAACCCATTCCTGTTTCCCTGTAGAACCCATTCCTGTTTCCTACAGAACCCATTCCTGTTTCCTACAGAACCCATTCCTGTTTCCTACAGAAACCATTCCCAATTTCCTGCAGAAACCAAGGCCCCATTCCCTGCCCTGCTCTTGCTCCACAGCCTGGTTGTTGTTGCCCTCAAGTGGCAACAACCTTCACCCCGAGCTGCTTCTCCTCCTTCCCTTCCCTCCCTGGAGTTCCAGGCTCCTCTCCATCCTGCTGTGCCTCCTCTTCCTCCTCAGCCCAATCCCAGCAGATCCAGGTCCCTCTGGATGCTCCTACCACACCTGGGATCCCATGGAAAGGACCCCACCCCTTGGACCAGCACCCTTCCCAAAACAAGCCTCCCCAAGAGCCACATCGTGATTCCAGGAATTTGGGAGCAGGGCCAAATCTCCCTCAGCCACTCAACCCTCCTCCCTACCCCAAAATCCCCCCAAAAAGCATCACCCCCTTTTCCTCCAGCACATCAGCTGCTCCCACATCCCAATCCCCTCCAGCTGCTCCAGCCCCGCAGCAGCTCCGGGGCCAAAATCACCAATTCCACCTTTCCAGCCCCGTTTCCCAGCGGGAAGGGCTGGAAACCCGACACCTCACGACACTAAAAACCCCTGGAGCAAAACCCCTGGGGCCTCCAGTCTCCCATAGAAAAATAAGCCCGATTTCCTTTATATATATATATATGAATGTGCAGGTGTCTGTGTATATATATATATATATATATAAACTGGGGGCTGGGGGCTATAACGTGGTCTCACTGCCCATGTCCCGCGGGGCCTTCTCCGTGTCCGTGTCCTCGTAATCCGACTCCATCTCGATCTTCACCTGGGGCACGGCACAGATGGGGCTCCGGGAGTAGTTAAAGGCAGGAGAGGATGGGCAGGAAATCTTCAGGTGGAGGGTAATACTGGGAACCAGGAGGAGAGATGGGAATCAGCAGCTGGCTGTGGCATCCCCCATCCCAAAAAACCACCCCGAGACCCTCAGGAAACACTCCGGGGGATGGGCAGGAAATCCTGAGGGGAAGGGGAATGTGAGGAGGAGAGAGGGGAGTCAACAGCCAAACCTGTCAGAAGGTTGGATGCGTGGAGATTTTGGAGTCAAAGTATTGGAATCATGGAAATTTTGCAGTCAAAATGTTGGATGCACAGAAATTTTGGAGTCAAAATATTGGATACATGGAAATTTTGGAGTCAAAGTATTGGTTACATGGAAATTTTGGAGTCAAAATGTTGGATGCACAGAAATTCTGGAGTCAAAATATTGGATACATGGAAATTTTGTAGTCAAAATGTTGGATGCACAGAAATTCCGAAGTCAAAGTATTGGATGCACAGATATTTTGGAATCAAAGTACTGGATGCATGGATGCTGTGGAGTCGAAATGTTGGATGAACAGGAATTTTGGAGTCAACATGTTTGATGCACGGAAATTTTGGAGTCAAAGTGTTGGATACGTGGAAATTTTGAAGTCAAAATATTGGATACATGGAAATTTTGGAGTCAAAATGTTGGATGCACAGAAATTCTGAAGTCAAAGTATTGGATGCACAGATATTTTGGAGTCAAAGTACTGGATGCATGGATGCTGTGGAGTCAAAATGTTGGATGAACAGGAATTTTGGAGTCAAAATGTTCGATGCATGGAAATTTTGGAGTCAAAGTATTGGATAAGTGGAAATTTCTCAGTCAAAACATTGGTTTGGGGTCAAAATGTTGGATGCATGGAAATTTGGAGTCATAATATTGAAACTTTGGAGGCAAAATACTGGATATGCAGATATTTTAGAGTCAAAATGTTGGATTCACAGAAATTTTGGATTCAAAGTATTGAATGCATGGAAATTTTGGAGTCAAATTGTTGGATGTATGGATACCGTGTGTGAAATTATTGGATGCACAGAAATTCTGGAGAAAAAATAGTGGATTCACAGAAATTTTGGAGCCAAAATGTTGGATGCCTGGAAATTTTGGAGGCAAAATCCATCCCAAAGCCACCCTGGGACCCTCAGGAAAGCACTCTGCATGGTGCCGCTGCCAATAAATTAATTAAAACTGATGTTTTGCCTTTTATCTGCAGAGAATAACCCCAAATTTCAGGATTTGGAGACGCCCCTATCCTAAAAATCCCTGTGATTGTTGCTCAGCAGTGTTTTTATGGCTCCAAACCCTCTCCCAACAACCTGTTTGGCAACGAAACCGCCCCAAATCCAGAGGGATGGTGTGGAAATAAACCTGGATGTTTGGGAAGTGCTCAAGGGTGGTGCCAGCTGGCTGGAGAAGGTGATGCCCAGCCAGGAGCAGTGGTGGGTTATCCCAAAAATGTCCCCCCCCCCGGGGATGGGGGAGAGGGTGGGGGACCCCTTTTGGGGCCGGTTACCTGCGATCCATGTCTGAACCATTCGGGGAGGAGTCAGAACGCAAAGCTCCAGGTGGAGGCCCTCTTTCCTGGGGGGACACGGAGGTGAAACATTCCCCAGGCGAGGCAGAATCTCCCCCCCCCCAAAAAAAAAACCCAAATCAAAACCCCCCTCACCCCCAACTCCAACCTGCCACCGGGTCCTGCATCCTCTGGCCGGTGGGAGCAGGAGAAAAGCTCCTGGGAAATGCTGATTTTTGGGGGTGATTAGAGGAAGACAAGGCCCTGCAAGCCCTGCCAAGAGCCACGTGAGGACCCAGTTAGTGAATCAGCCAGTCAAAACTTGCTGGAGTCGTGATGCAACCTGGAGCAAACCCGCCCAAAATTCATCCTGCGCGGTTTTGGTCACTCCTGTTGGGAAGGTTGAGCCAAACCGAACAAATCTGGGGAATTCCAACACAAGCTCTGCACCCCCTGCTTTGGGGGGCTGCAAACAT